ATAATAATTCTTACCCTGCTTTCCTTACTGCACTGCATAGATGAGACCATAACTCATTGCACGGTGAGAATTCCCTTGCAGACCAGAAATCTCCATGACCCTAGGAATCTGCCAAATAGTCTCTTTGGCACACTCAACAAAGAGAGGCTGTCCCTACCCTCTTGGGCCACGTGAGCTCCTGCACAGAGTAGCTTCAACAAAGCCTTCTGCACAAGGGCTCTGGGGGAGTACAGGTGGTGGGCAAGGCTCCAGGGCCCCTGATTAAGTGGAATGCAGCATGCCTTTTCCTACTGAAAATTGCCAAGCTGAACTGAAACAAACAGGCAAACCTGAATGTTAACTTGTGCAGTAAAAAATAGTGTAGGCTTTTGCGAGTGAGATGGAAACCCAACCACCAGGCAGGTGCCGCAGCTTTCAGGTGAAATGTGCTTCAAGTTCCGACTGAGGAATAAACATGGGAAGGCTGCAGTCTGGTCTCTTGCACTCTAGAACAGGAGTCAGCAAACCTCCTGTGAAGGGCCATATAGTAAATATTCTAGACTTTGCAGGCCAAAAGGCCATGTTATCTGGTACTGTAGTGAGACATAAGCCTGGACGACCAGTGACCATGGCTGTGTCAGCAAATGATACAACACAGGCAGCGAGCTGGATTTTGCCTGCAGGATCTAGCTTGCCAACCAAATTCTCTATGCCTGCTATGGCGTGCTGGAGCCAGCTTCTGTCAGCCTGCAGGAGCCAGCTGTTAGCAGCTCCTCCCAATGCCATGCTCATGACTTCACATTGGCTGTTTGTAGTTGGCCATGTTGGGAGTCAACACCCTGTGGAAGCAAGCAAGAGGCAAACATCAGATCTCCGTCCCTGGCTCACTCACCCCGAGAACTGGTTGTTAAACATTTGCCAGCACATCACTAGGTCTGTGTCCACTGGGATGGGGGTGGAGAGCAGCAGCTGGGTGAGCCAGACAGTCTATTGGAATGTTAGAAGAAATTACTAAATGTCAGTTCCTATTTTATTTAGTCCTTGTAAATTTTCTAATGTGGTGTAAGTCTCATAATGTCCTAATTAATGCCCACATTTCAAGACGTGTGCTGGCATCAAAAATGCTCTCCAGGCTGCTATGCTCCCTGCTGGGTAATGCATTCCCCAGCAGAGTACAAGATGGACAGGGTCTTCTCTTTCTGTTCTCAAGACCGCCTTCCTCTTTCCATCACCTGCCTCCACCTGCCCCAGGGCCTTGGCTGGTGATAGGAAAATTGACCAGCTGTGAAAGGAACCCCTGGTTGGGATGCTCCTATAGGAGCTCCTGTTGCCGAGTAAATGTCCTGAGATTGCCCTTTTACAGACCTAGAGAATTCTTTGAGGTGAACAGTTGGAATGTTGGGTGTTATGGGTTGAATTGTGCCCCCTCAAAAAGATACATTGAAGATACAACCCTGATATCTGTGAATGTGACTTTATCTGGAAACAGGGTTTTTGCAGATATCATCAAGTTCAGATGAAGTCATTAGGGTGTGCCTGTGGATAAAATGGAAGTTCCTGCAGCCAGGATTCTCACCTGGCCCTGGTTGGCTAGCTCACTACACATGTGTGGGCAATGTGTTATTACTGACTCTATACAAAGAGATCCGCCCAGTGCTCTGGGTGACACGGTGGCACAGCTGCAAAGCAGAGCAGAGGCTGGAGTGGTGGCAGCACAGAGAACAGAGGCCCAGAGGATGGCTATGTGGGCAAAGAGGCCAGGAGGATGACTGTACGGGCGGAGACCGGCTTGCTGCATGCAGACTCACTCTGAGTGAACAGGATTTTAGTGATTGACCTGCCAACGTGGGAATAAAGTTGGGTATAAACCTTTCACTGCAAGAATGTTCTACTGTCATTTCTTTGGTCACACTGAATCCATAGTGAAGTCGACCGGGGCTGAAATACATTCGCAAGACAGTGTCCTAATCCAATATGACTGGTGTCCTTGTAAGAAGAGAGAAATTTGGACACTGGCACACACAGAGAAAAGTGCCATGAAAACACAGATGATGGAGTGGTTAATTTGTAAACCACAGAACGCCGAGGATTGCCGACACCACCAGAAGCTAGAAGAAGCGTGGAGCCGATCCTCCCTCAGGCCTGCAGAGGGAACCGTGGCCCTGTCATCATCTTGGTTTGACACTTCTGGCCTCCAGAACATAATCAATTTCTGTTGTTTTAAGCAGCCCTGAGAAACTAATACATTGGGTTCTCAGGTATAATACATAAGGGCTAAACTTTTTCACTTAACACACAGGCCCATGATTACAATGAGAGCTAGGAAAACAAAATTCAAAATACCTGAGTTTGTTTTACACAAATTTTCCAAAATGCTCGATAGGGGAAATCATACTTGCTGTAGTAACAAAGAGGGGACCAACATTATCAGTTATAAAATAAATTAAACAAGGGGACGCAATGTACAGCACAGGGAATATAGTGAGTAATATTGTAACAACTGTATGGTGACCAGCACTAGCTAAATTTATCCTGGTGATGACTACATAATGTATATGAATGCAGAATGACTATGTTGTGTACCCAAAAGTAATATAATATTATATGTCAAGTATATTTCAATAAAAATAGATAAATAAATTTGCAAATTATGTATAAGTAAATAGCAACTGTTCCTTCCTTCCCTGTTTCTCTCCCTTCCTTTCTTTCTTCCATCTTTTTTCCTTCCTTCCTTCCTTCATTCAAAACTTATTGAGTGCCTACAAGTGACAGATGCCATGGTAGATTCTTGGGACTCATCAGAGAGCAAAGTGCTCATGAAACTTACATCCCAGTGGAAGACACAAACATTAAACATAAAAAATAAGCAAATTATATAGCATGTTATAAGGACAAAAAAGTAGGTAGGGCCAGGAAAAAGGGTGTTGGCACTGCAGCTCACAGCATTAAGCAGGGTAGCCTACCTGTGTGATCACTATAACTATGTCCAGAGATTTCCAACAGTAAATTCAACAGCACACAGAGGCCTTGTGCTTCTGCAAGGTGCTGGCACATTCGTGATCTCAGAGGGGTGTCACCGAAGCCCACGGGGCCAGCTCCACAGTGACTTGCTACATGTCACCAGACTGGAAGGAAGTGCAGCAGGATGGAGCCCAGGCTGGGCATTTGTCTGGCCCTCATGGTCGGCCTCCTCTAGGCTGTGGTCAGCAAGCCGCATCTCTTTCCTCTGGTCCATAAGGGAGGCAGAGCCCTCACTGCTGTGGGGCAGCCCTGGCTCAGACACTAGACTCCATAGTTGTGTCTTGGTTGCGAAAGATGCTCTGGGATGTTCTGAGGGCATGGCCTCAATGTCACCTGAACACATTTTCAAACACTAAAAATACTAAATAAATGCTTTTGACCACTGGGCTGGTGTGGGTCAACATCACCTCAGATCAGAAACAGAAGCAGCTGACCCTGTCAGAGCTCTTCCCTGGGGCCTTGTCCCCCTTGACCCCGAGACTGGGGTCTGTCATATTCCTAGTTACAACTGAGGAGGCTCAAGGAGGCATTGGTTTGCCCTCCTTCTGGCATCCACACACCTTTCCCCTGAGATCAGCTGGGCAGTTTGAGTCTGAGGACCCTCCCTGGCCTTGTGGGAAATGGAAGGGAGTATCTTGGAGAAAGCTACTCAAGGTGTAACTGACCAGGAGCAGACCCGAGGTCCAAGCCAGGGCCACCACATGCTCTCCTTGGAATCTGGCTTTCCCTAAGTGAACAAAAGCATGACTGGCCCTTATCTCCCTGAGTGGTGGGCCAGAGGTGTCCTGGCTCCTGTCATTTCTCACCTGTCGAAAATGTCTGACTCTGAGTCTTCAGCATGTCCTTCACGGGCGAGGCAGAACAATGGCCCCCAGATATGTCTACATCCCAATCCCTGGAACCTGTGAATGTGTTAACCTCATATCAAAAGGGATGTGGTTAAATCAAGCATCCTGAGATGGGGATTATCCTGGATTATCTGGGTGGACCCAGTGTGATCACAGGGTCCTTGTAAGTGAAAAAGGAAGAGCAGGAGGGTCAGAGTGAAGCCATGTGAGAAAGACACCGGGCATTGCGGCTGTGAACACAAAGGAAGGGGCATGCGCCAAGGCATGTGGGTGACCTTCAGGGGCTGGAAAAGCAGGGACTGGATTCTCCTCTGAGCCTCCAGGAGGAATGCTGCCCTGCCCACACCCTGATCTATGCCCAGAAGGCCCATTTCAGACTGGCCCCCAGGAAGGGAAAATAATTAATTGCATTGTTTTAACCTGCTGAGTTTATGATAACCCCCACCCCCGCCCCATTACAGCAGTAACAGGAAAGAACACGCCCAGTATCCTTATAACAAGCGCCTGTTTTAGTGCACGTTTTGCTTAAGTAAGCCTGAATCAATCATTGTTGCTTGTAACTGAAGAGCCGAAACTAGTAGGCAAACAAATGCCCAAGACTCCCTCCCCCGTCCCACGCCCCTCTCTGCTCTGGGTCCTGAGCTTCTGTTCAGCCAGCCCGACCATACGAGGTTCGGCGCCCAGCCTTGCTGCAGAAACTTGCTCTTGTTGACAGACTTCCAGATGCCAACTGTCGCTCACCTGGTCTCCCGTCTGTCACTTGACCCAGATTCCTTGTCTCTGTGCCTCTTCCACATTTTGGGTCACCCTGCCTGGTGTCAGGGATCCACCCCAAGCTTTTCCATTATCACTTGGCTGGATGGTGACTGGCTGTCTCTTTTCTTCTGGTCACACTGGGTCCTAGGCACGCACTAAACCACTTCCATGCACTTCTGCCCCAGCCCCTGTCAAAGCCCAGTAGGGGGGACAAATTCTAGAGGAAACATCGGCCCCCTGCTCCTCCTTCAGGCTCAGCCTGACCACCTAGGAGCCAGCGCCAGTCCAGAGAAAGCAGCACACAGGCAGAAGCAGAACTTTATTCCATCTGCGAGCTCTCTAATTAACCCTACTTCTGTGACCCAAAGACATACTAATGAGAAATGAGAAGCGGCAAATGCGTAGGCACCACGCTCTGATGGCTGAGTTAGACAAGAAAGCCCAGGGAGGCACTCGAGGCAGTTTCCACTTGCTGACCTCCCTTGGGGCTCGTTTCAGCTTGTGAATGGAAATCCAGTGTGCTTCCTATTCCTATTCGTCACTCCAACAGGTTCACCAAAATTGCGGGAGGTACAGACATGCCATCCAGGGTGGGCGGCTGGCTCCTGGGTGCTCCGGGGGCCCCCGGCATCCCTGCAAAAGATGAAGGACAGGCACACTGCTTCCCTCTGGCCAGCCAGGGTGGTAGGTTTCTTCCTTCACATGTAAAAGAGACACAAGTGGCTAGCGCAATCTCTGAAAGGGACAGCACCCAGCACATATGCTCAGGGGCCAGGACGCTTCCACCCAGTGCTGCCAGAAAGAAGGTGGCTCACGTGACATTGGCCAAGACAAGGATCTGCAGAGACCTAGAGGTGTGAGGACCTTGGCCTTCCCCACTGGGGTGCTGAGGGGGAAGGAAACCGGCAGGAACCTCACCTCCAGCTGCAGGGATGGCTGGCTTTGTCATTTGTCCTTGGCACACCGGACAAATCTCCCCTTGAGAGACTTACAGGCTGCGCTTAAGTCACAGGCCGATACAAAGAAGGTCTCTGGAACCAGACAGTCAGAAAAAGTGGATTGGTTCTCAGGGCAGGGAGGCCCTCCTGTCTGATGGGGTTCAGGCATGACATGGAACCTGCCTTTCCCTCACCTGTGGCTCTGTGGTCGAAGTTCTCCGTCACCTGCTCCACGCCTCCTCTTCCTCTACAGCTGGCCCTTGCTTCTTCCAGCCCTCCCAGAAAGACACCCCTCAGCTGTGGTCATCATTACAGACTCTCCATCCAGTTCCTAATGGACACCTGGGGCTTCTCCCTGCTGCTGCCCACGGCCTGCTGGAGACAGAGGCACCCCACAGCCTGAGCTGAGCCAGTACAGGAAGGCCTTATGCTGGCTGCAGAGAGGCAGGACATGCAACCCAGACTGAGAGGCACCTGGGAGTATGTGGCTTTTATCAGGAAGAGCTTTGAGGGTCCCAGCATCCTGAACCAACCCATGGTGGCCCAGCTATGAATGCTGAATTCCTCTGGGCCTTCAGCCTTCACTTTCAGTCCTAGATCAGCATAACCAGATATCAACCCTTCAGATAGAAAATGGAAAACTCAGTCCTTTCTAGCCCACCCTAGGGTCCCAGCCCAGCCTCCACCTGCCTGTGGGCCTGGACATCAAAGCCCACCAAGTATCTCTACCACCCCAGACTTTCCACAATTTAGCACGTACCTATGTACATGGGCTACCAACTTTGACAGAGGACTAAAATCCAAGCTCTGTCCCTTACTGCTTTAGCACCTAGGAAAAGCTACTAAATCTCTCCAAACCTCTGTGCCCTCATCTGTGAATGGGGGAAATAATAGCACCTACCTGGAGGATTGTAGGGAGGAATAAAATGTTTTCTCCAAAGAGTGACACTTAGCCAGATGTCTGAGCTACACAAAGGTCTTAGCATGTGTTAGTCATCATCCTTGGTGACCCTCGTTCCTGCACCCGCCCACCAGGGCATCATGCCCTCTACGGCATCATGCCCTCCACAGTGCCTGGGGTGGGACAGCTCCTTGCACTGGCTGGGCCAGTGGAGGGACAGCTGAGGGTGGTGAGTGAGAGATGGAGACAGGAAGCACCCAGGAACCCAGTGTCCTGCAAGACCCGGCTGGCCCTGCAGGGGTTCCTTTGAAAAGCCTCAGGGCCCATGCCTAGCCCAGGGGGAGCTTCTTTCAATGGGCAGGACCAGTCACAGCAGGGGCCAGGGTCCTTCCCAGGGCCTGGCTCCTAAGAACACATTCCTGCCATTCTCGCCTGGAGTGGGTCCTCCTCGGGGAGCCTTCCTAAGGGGGCTCACCCCTCAGGGAACAGCCTGGGCACTTGATGAAGGGCAGGAACCAGCATGTGAACCAGTCTCTGGCAGAGGTGAGAGGCTACAGAATGCAGGCAGGACAGCACAGTGGCCACGGACCAGGGGCTGCTCCAGCATCACCCTCTGTGACAGGCAATTACGTGCAGAGATGAGACCTAAGGCCTCCTCCCCCCAGGCCGTGAACACAGGCCTCTGGCTCCTCTCAGCCTGCCACGCCCTCCGATCCTTGCTGCCCGACAAGAGTGGGTAGGACTCCCATGAGCCTGGCTTCCTGCCCCCTCCTCCACGCAGCCCTCCTCAGCCCCTCTGCGGGACGGCTCCCCTCTGGGCCTCCACGACTCTGCACACAGCCCTGCAGGCGTGGCATGGTGACCCTGCCATCTCCCCGCACCACTGGCAGCCCCTGAGTGCAGCTGCCCTGTCTCACTTGCCCAAGAGCCTCCTCAGTCCCTGCCTGGAGCCTCAGACATCATGGGCATTTCTGCCCCTTGAGGATTTCCCAGGTCTGCCCTTCCTTTGCTTCCATCTCCCTCCTAGCACCCTGCCTAGGTCCCTAGGATCTCCTACTCAGGCTTTGACAGTTCCCCAAGACTGTTCTTTCCATCATCCTGACCTCAAATCCACCCCTCACACCTCAAGGTGTAACAGAGGCATGAGTAGCTTTAAGGAGCTGCTGGTTTTCCTCTCCAGAAAAGAGCCCCCAAACACACACCAGGGTGGCAGTGAGGTGCAGCCTCTCTCGTAGAGGTGCCAGCCGGCCACCTGTGTACCCCAAGCCTCATCTGCGCCCAAGGCCATTTCACCAAGGAGGACAGTGACCTGCAGTGGATCTGGGATGTGGTTGAGGCCTCCTGACTCTGCCCCGTGCAGAGGGTGGTGCCGGGAACCTTGTGCCTGCCTTGGGCAGCCGATGTCAGGGTGTTAGAACACCAGCATCTGTCATTCCCTATCTGTGTCACCTGGGGCAGGCAGCCCCCTTGCCTTCTCAGTTTCTGCACATGAGATGTGGTGACATTCACTTCTGGGGGTACTGTGGGGCACTCATGGGAGACTGAAAGAAAGAGTCAAGCTCAGTGATGGTGGCCCTGGCCCTTACGGAGGCAGGTTTCCTGCTGGACAAGGTTCTGGTCTGTGAGGAGGTCAGGGCTTCCAGCCTCCTGGCAGTGGTCAGAAGTGCCCAGAAGCTTCCCAGGCTCAACACCTCCTCCTGTGCCACTCATCAGTTATGTTTTACCTGCACTTTGCTGCAAAGGCAGAGACTCCCCCAGGGCTCAGCCTCCATATGAGCCTCCTGAGATTTGCTTCCTCATGGGAAAAGCCTCCACCCACCTCACACCCATGGATATCCCAAGGCTGACACCCCACTCCTCTAGGGGAATCCAGTGGCACAATCCCCCATCCTACAATCACCCTCTGTCCACCCAGGGACCTTACACGGGTGGGCAGAACTCATGGAGGTGAGGCTTGGGCTGGGCTCCTGGGGGCTTCTGGCCAGGTCTGAAATTGGAGACAGTGAGCTTAGCACGTGCAATTTGGATTCTAGGGATTTAGAAGCATCAGAGGCCACTTTCATGCCTTACATCCCTTTTGTGTGTTTTGAGGACCACTAAAGCAGAGACAGTAAGGACACTGAAAGTAGCTGGCATGGTCGAGAATGGTGGGAAACAGAGATGAAGCAGAGCTGGCCTGGTTTCTGGATGCAGAACTTCTAGAGCCTTTACTTACAGAAACATATGCATGGCATTCATTCGGGGGTACAGTATACATTGCCCACATTACTTTGAAAATAATCTGCCTGATAAAACATTACATTTGGGAAATGACCAAATGAAATCCCTGGTCATAATCCCAATGCTGGCACACAAGAGTACGTAGCATCTATGGAGAGAGGCCAAAAAGGTGCGCTCTGAAGGTTCTACCCAGCCTGGCTTTCCCACCATGTGGCCATCTGAGACAACTCTGCCCTCAGCACTCAGAGCCTCATTGTCCCCATCTGTCCCTCCAGCTCTGACAATCTATGCTTCAAGAAGCAGGAGGACTTCACCTTGGTGGGGAGGATCAAGGGGTGTGAGTGCTGCCCTAGGCCCAACAGAAGAAAAGTTTCCAGGATTGTGCCCGTCCCCCTCCCATGTTGCCACCATCAACAGAGGCAGAATCAGGACAGGGCCTCAGTGCCCGCATTTGGAGCTCCTGGGGCTGGGAAATTACAGTATCTGGTACCTGTGCCCTCCCATGACCACTCACTCCCCACTGCCTCGGGGACAGAAGGACCATGGTGGCCACCATGCAGCGCATGTTCAGGGAGCAGGGCTGGTTCCAAACCTCCCTCTTGTCACTGTTGGCTGACGCGCTTATGTCAGACCAATGTCCTCATTTTTACTTTGGGAACTCTGATTGCCATGTGTGAGATGAAAGCTCAGAGTTTTGGCTCAGTCATGTTACAGGCCTCTCCCTTCACATTCCATGCATTAGACAGTCAGTTGGGTGAAAAGCCTCCTCATATTGTCTGCCTTGAGCCAACACCCAAGTGTCCTCCTCCAGGAGCCCCTCAGAAGCCCTGAGGCAGGGTCACTTTCCCAAGCAGACTCAGGGAACCCCTTCTGCAGCAGAGCTGTCTCCTCTGCCTGGGCCCTGCCGGGGAAGAGATGCATTTGGAGGATTCAGAACCAGCCCGTTGGTGAGTCAGAAAAAGCCCTGAACCTTTGGGTCAAAGTGATCTGTGCATCTACCACCTAATGCCCCTGGGCCCTTGCAGCAAAGCTTCATTTTCCCATCAAAAATTTCTTTTGACTCATTGGCCTACAGGGAAGTTCCCAAAGCTTGCGTACCATGTCAGGTCAAAGGGGAGGAACTGGGCTGTGCACAGCACCTCACAGGAGCCTGCTTTAGGAGCTGCTTTTTGGCCCTGGTATGGATATTTCCAAGAACCTTACCTTCTGAGCAGCACCGGAGTTCATCTCTTTCCCAGTCTTCAGATCCATTTTCTGTGGGGGGTGGATTGGAGGAGAGAGATTTCTGCACCCTCCCCGGGTCTTCACATCACATCTCACTTTTCCCCTGAACTTCAGGACAGCACAGTAAGGGAAGGGGGCAAGAGGTGTGCTTCCCATTTTACAGATGAAAACCAGAAGGCGGATGACTTCTGGAGGGTTACACCACTTTGAAGGTGGCCAAGATAACATTCAGAAATTCAGGAAATCCATAGAGGACATGCTTGGGGAAAAGTAAGGCAGGGGGCCGGATGCCACTGGGCCTCTTGAGCCAGGAGTGAGGACCACTTACCTGAACCAGGACCCCCACGTCTGCGGCTCTGTCTCGGGCTCCTGAAGCTCTGTCTTCTGCCCTTAGGATCTCTGATCTGAAGATGTCACGTCTGGTCCCTATTTTAGATATCAGCTTGAGAGAATATATGCAAATGCAGCAGCAGCATTCCTTTGTCCAATAATAAAGAGCATCTTAGATTGTCAGTCCCACTCCTTGCCTGTCCTTTTGCACACCAAGAATATAAATACACTCCTGTGGGTGGTGTCATTGCCAAGGACTGTGCCACATCCATTTAACACATTTCAAGGTGCTCAAGATAGACTGTGTGGTGGCTGCCAGTCCAGTCCAACAGTGGAGATGTGGGAAAGAGGCATGAGTGAAAGGAAAGGGGGACGTAGGGTCTAGGCCGGGCAGAGTGCCCGGGAGGTGCAGGCAAGTTCACACTGGTTCTCTGCTCCAGGCAGATGACCCAGAGAAAAATGCCCTCTTCCCCTTTCTCCTTCAGGGGCACTCCAGGATATATGACTGACACCTCCCTCTGCCTCATCTCTATCCCCTCTTCTTCATCTGTAATAAGCACAGCATGCCCAAGGGACTTGTCCTGGTCAAGCCCAGCAAGGACATGATTTTCTCTACAACCCACTGGCATTTGCTTGCATTTTCTTGCATTTTGCATTGCATTTGCACTTGCCAGTTAATAAGCATGGCTGTGCTTCGAGTGCCAGAAACAACTACCAGTTCAGACAATCCCCATGGTAGACAAGACCATGGCTGCCACCGCCTGTGCCGCAACAGTTTAGGAACAGCAGCCACAACCGCAGTTGTCAGCTGCAGTGCTCTTGCCAACCACCCCTGGGCTAAGCCCCTTGCTCTTTCTCTCCCCTAACCCTTTGATGGTCCCTTAGGGGGCACTGTCCTCCCAGCATCCAGACAAAGGTGCCATTTGGAGAAGAAGCAGCTTCCCTGAGAGCAACCCCGCATTCAGGCACCCCAAGAGGCCTTGTTGAAAATGATGTCGTGGCTCCATTTCTACAACGTGAACAAAGGCTAGAGTCCCTTCTAGTCTTTTCCACACATACATCTACATAACAATGTAATACAGGAATGCCTTTGACAAACTATTTTTTAACATGCATTTTTTTCTTAACAATGCATCCTGCATTTTCTATTCAATCCTATCTCAAATATCATTTCATCAATATTTTCTACATTATTTTTAATTGCTGCAAGGTATTTTCTTATCTGTCTAAAGATCTGAAAATGTTATTCCCTTGGTGGTATTGAACATAAATTCTTGTCTTTATTGCTTTCCACATGAAACTTCAAAATATTTGACAATCCTGACTGGTGCTGATACAAGCAAAGGTGGTATTTGTTTACTTATTTGTTCATTTGCTTGTGGGAGGTTGAAGAAGAGGACAAGGACAGCTATTTTGTGTGTTATATATGGATGTACCATTATTTAACTAATCCCTAGTTCAAAACATTTGGGTTTTCATTTTACACTATTACATACAGTGCAGTGCTGTGCTAAATATACTTGGACTTAAACCTTTGCGTGTATCAGATTACTTCTCTAGGAAAAGTTTCTAGAGGCATAACTACTGGGTCAAAGGATATACATATTTTATATTATACTGCTTAAAATTTTGCATCTTACAGTTATTTTTAAGGAAGCTAATTAGCTAGATAATGTTTTTCACTTACCAAACATTCATTTCAAAGGCAGCTACCATTCAGACTCCATGACGGGTTGTATTTTCCTGTGTCTGTGTGTTTGGTGCACTTATGTTTTCTGCATGTCTGTTGGGATGTATATATATATATATATACATGCTTTGTATGTGTGCATTTCATGTGCATTGTGTTTTCCTGGCATGTGTATGGTTTGTCTATGTTTTCTGTGTTGTTTTTGTGGATGTATATTATTTGTTGTGTGTGTGTCTTGTGACTCTGTTCTGTGTATGTGTATACGCTGTCCAAATCTGGGGTATACATGTTTTGTGTATGTGTTGTATATGCTGTGGGATGTACGTTTTTGTGTAGCTGTGTGTGGAATTGTGTGTGTGCATTGGGGAGCCCTTCCTTCCTCTGTGCTTGCACACTACCCCGCAGGGCTCTGCATGACCAGCTGCCCTGTGTGTTCACCTGTTAACACAATGCAGCAGGACCCTACTGCTGCCTCACAGCAGTCCCCACCAGGGTGCAGGGACACCATGGGAGGTTGGATTGGATCAGAGACAGCCCTGCCACACAACTGCCAAGCGCCGGCATCCAGCCTGTCTCACTGCCGTGGTCTGTGTAGCTGGGAAGCAGTTGGGTCCGGGAGGAAGCCACCTGTAAAGGTCTCAAGTGGCTGCATGGCAGAGACCGCCACCACTTGACAAGTGCAAACAGGCGCACACACTGCCAGGAATCCTCGTGGTCCTCCTTTCCCCTGTAGGCCCCAGGCCCAGCAGCTTCCACAGCGCAGGGGCCTTGCAGAAAGGCAGGTGCTGTCGGCAGTGGAGAAACTGAAAGGCTTAGAGTCCATGCAGTTCAGTGATTCTGTATCCACACGTATCGCCTGTGAACTCAGGGCCGCTGGGGGTAGCAGGGCAGACTCTCAGGGAAGCCAGGGCTGAGAGCCATGGATCTCTCCTGACCCCACATCACTGTGGAGCCATTTAGGGCCCCATGCAAGCCAGTCACTCATCTGGTGAACACCAAGGGCCCGTGATGCTCAGGGCCCCAGGCCAGGACTGAGGAGGCCCCTGGGCAAGGGAGACAGCAGTGCAGGGAGACTGCAGGGACAGCACGCCAGGGCTGCAGGGCTGCGCACAGAGTCGTGGAGGCCCAGAGGGGAGCTGTCCCGTAGAGGGGCTGAGGGGGGCTGCATGGAGGAGGCGGCAGGAATCCAGGCTCATGGGAGTCCTACCCACTCTTGTTGGGGGCAGCAGGGATCAGAAGGCAGGGCAAGCTGAGAGGAGCCAGAGGCCTGTGTTCATGACCTGGGTGGAGGAGGCCTTAGGTCTCATCTCTGCATGTAATTGCCTGTCACAGAGGGTGATGCTGGAGCAGCCCCTGTTGTCCTGCTTGTGTTCTATAGCCTCCCACCTCTGCCAGAGACTGGCCCACATGCTAGCTCCTGCCCTCCATCAAGCGCCCGGGCTCCTCCTGAGGGGCAGGCCCCCAGCCCAAGCAGTCCCCTTAGGAAGGGTCACTGAGGAGCACCCACTCCAGGCGGGAATGGCAGGAATGTGTTCTTAGGAGCCAGGCCCCCGGAAGGCCCCTGGCCTCTGCTGTGGCCAGTCCTGCCTGTTGAGAGAGGTTGCTCTGGGGCCAGGCAGAGGCCCTGCAGCTTTTCAAAGGAACCCCTGCAGGGCTGTTACTGGGCACTGGATCCCTGAGGGCTTCCTGTCTCTGTCTCTCACTTCCCACCCTTCACTGTTCCTCCACTGGCCCAGCCAGTGCAAGGAGCTGTTCCACCCTAGGCACTGTGGAGGGCGTGATGTCCCCGTGGGAGGGTACAGGAACAAGGGTAACGAAGAATAATAACAACAATAATAATAAACAATTTGTGGATATTTTCTCAATGGGCCAGGCACGTGCCCTTGCTAAATAAATACTGTTCACTGAATCACCTTTAACTTTGCAGAGCAACCCTATTACAATCAACGCTAATAAGCAGGCCTTATTATGATCCTCATTCTATGGAGGAGAAAACAGGTTTGGAAGAATTTAGAAAGTTGTTCCAGGTCCCATAATTAAGATGTGAGAGAGCTCAGATTTGAACCCAAGTCTGCCTAATTCCAGAGCCCAGTGTGTGAGGAGACAGGTCTCTTGCCTCTCATTAAAGCCGAAGATTGGTGGAAACAGTGAGAGGTCCAGAGCTTGTCAGAGCCCATTTGAGCTGGATCGGGACACTGGATATGGGGCTGGAAAGGCACAGTCTTCCATGTTCAAGGCAAAAAGCTACTCTCTGGTCAAAGGGAGCCAGGTTCAAGTGAAAGCGAAAGACCCAGTGAAATTCAATATTCAGGTCACGTACCTGATGCTCCTCATCCTGGTGGGATCTTCCAAAGCCTTTCTGCTAAGAACCTGGAGAAGCTCAGATGACTTCCCACCGTGCCCTGTTCTCTGGCAAGCCAGTGAGCACCCTCCCTGGGCTTCTGGAGCCGGCTAGTGGAGGGCAGCATGAACGAAACCACAGGAACCATGAGAAAGTACATGAGGGTCTGTAAAGATCTCTGTTCCTGAGAGGGATCTTTCTAGAAGGGCTGCACCTTAACATGACCAGACAACTGGTCTTCAGAAGGAGAATACTGAGTGGACAATTCAGATGGGGGTGAGGGGTGGGGGACCTTGACCACAGAGCCAAGGGGAGAGGCGCTGTGTGCCGCACTCAACACCCCAGCGGATATGGGGGAATTTCCCCCCACTCTGCGGACCGGCCTTTTTTACTGAGCATTGTTTTCCAGAAACCTGTATTTTATCCTCACACTTGGGCTCAGTTTGTGAGCAGGAAGGAGGTCTGGTTCTCTTGGCGGTATCTAAAGAGAAGCCATCTCCACTGTGACAAGCATGGAAGGACAAGCTTTTTGCTCACTAATGTTGAACAAGAGTCGTTCAGGAAATATGCTTTTTCAGTGTTGCGGCCTAAGGTTTGTTACCCATCCTCAACCCAGCCTGGAAGGGTATTTCCCCAGGAATCTGATGAAACTTTTCAGCCTTAATACAAATGGAGGAGGAAACTATCCTTTTCCTTCCCCCACAGTCCTTCCTTAGCACAGAAGACAGAAAGACCTTCCGCTTGCCTCTGGGACTGTGGGGCCCGGCGGCCTGAACTGCGAGCATCTTCTCCTCCCACCACTCTGCTCCTGGGCGCCCTCTAGATCAACCCCAGATCCTGCTTTTTGGAGGCCTCCACACAAGTGTGGGCCAGTAATTCTGGGAAGGACTGTGCTACACAGGTCAAAACACTCTCCTGGGCAGCTAATCCCAAGGCTTAGCCCTAGGGGAGTTAGTAATGGGCAACTGACCCGGCTGTTGATGCCCAAATGAGACATGTACTCTGATTCCACAGCACAGTGTCTGAGGGAGCATGGGAATACATCATCTCTGCAAGCATTTGGTAGGGGAAGATGGCAGTGGGTCCCACACAGGTAGCAATATGTCCCAGTGGGTAGGAGGAACATAACAATAAGGAATCTGGGTTAGATGGTATCCACATACCCAGCTGAGCATCCAGCCAGCATGAAAGAGGCCCATCAGCAAGTGGCAGGTGCCACATCCTTGGCATGAGGTCCAGAAGATGAGCAGCTTTTAAGGAGCCACAGAGTTGGGTAGTGAGTGGGACAGAATCCAGAACAAGACACAGAGTAAGAAAGTAGAGGAAATTATGTAATTTAATGTTTCCTGTGAGAATCTTTTGGAAGTAGTAAAGAGATGGTTGCAATCCCCATTGTTAGTGTTGCTAGTCATTAACATCTCTTGACTGCCAGTCTTCTCGTTTCAACCTTACATTTTTCCACCAATGTTTGCATACAAACGTTTGACATGTATTCTGCAGTTGTTATGTACAGTATTCTATGCCTGCCCATGAGGTCAGATATACTAATCCTATTGAGCAGATCATCTCTACCCTCACTGATATTTTTTGTCATCTTGTTGTATCAATAAGATCTTCTACAATGCCATAGATTTATTTTATTTATCATTTTGATCTCAATTTTGGCATTATATATTTTGAAGTCATGTTATTAGGTGCATATAAATTTAGAATGTTTATATCTTTCTGGTGAGTTGAAGACTTTATCTCTAAGGAGAGATCCTGTTTATCTCTCAGAATGCTTATTTCCTTAAAGCTAGATACAGAAGTCAGATACAGAAGCCTCCTTCTGACTAGTATTTGCATGATATATCTTTTCCCATCCTTTTTCTTTCAATCTTCTCCACCTTTATGTTTTAGATTTGCCTCTTGCAAATAGCATATAATTAGGTTCTGTTTGCTTTGCTTCATCAACTTTGTCATCTAAACCATTTACATCAACTCTGAAACATCAAAGATTATGAAACACACCAATATTCTATGTACCAGTAAGAAAAATAAATACTCCAAATCAAATCATGACACAACACCTCAACGATACCTCCATAAAGGGCACAAATCAATCACACCGGCTTCTCTGCACTTTAAAATTTCTTTCAACAGTTCCAAGGGACTCGACAAGCTCCCATTTTATGTTGCACCACCTCAGAAACAAAGTGTAACATACACATTTGGATGGTTTCTTCTTCAGGTCTCTGTCAACTCTCAGTATTTGCCAAAAAAAAAAAAATGGAATTGCTTCACAAATATTACTTTTTGCCCAACTATTCTATTTCCATGCCAAGTGAGAAGGTATCTTTTTGAAGACATTTTAAGCAGTGAGTAAGCTCAGTACATGTAATAATGATGATATACTCATCCAAGGACCAAAAAAAAGAAACAGCTCTGACAAGTTAGCACAGCCCGACTGACTGTACGATGTCACAGCTGTGGCCCCCCAATTTCAGGAATGTAAAACTATGAATAAACGTGTGTCTTAAAATCAATGAAGTAGAGTGTTTGGATCGGAAAATCTGCTGTTGTTCTGGTGCTTTATGTTCATTGCTCCCATTTCTTCTCCCCCTTCTTGCTTTCCTTTGGTTTGAATTTTTTTTTTTTACTCCACTTCTCTCTCCCTTCTAGTTTGAAATGTACTTATTTTCTCTTTAAAGTGCTTATTCTTAAAGTACTCCTTGTGTCTCTAAGTTATAAGAGACTACTGCTAATGAAGAACTTCATTCTCCTCCCAGACAACTCAAGGACGACAGAATGCCGCCATTTACCTCAGCTCCCCACAACATGCATGCTTCTGTTCTCATACATTTCAATTGCATATGCTCTCAAAACTCCAGACACTGTTGTTGCTTTATTATTATTATTTCATAGCATGAGCACTTGCTTACATTTGCCCACACGTTTAGGGCTTTCTTTTCCCTGAAATTCTTCTTATATCTTGACTTTCCATCTGGGACAATTTTCCTTCTACCTGAAGTACTTATTTTCGAACTGCACTGTCCAATAGGGCAGCCATATGTGGCTCTTCAAACTTAAGTGAATTGAATAACGTGTCAATTTCAGCCTCATTAGTCTCATTTCAAATGCTCAGTAGCCACAAGTGGCCGACGGCTTCTCCCCATCGAAGAGGCAGAACATTTTCTTCATCACTGGAAGTTCTATTGGGTAGCGTTTATCTAAAGATTCCTTTCCTGCAGATCTGATGGAAGTGCCTTTCCTCTGCTTGGGTTTGGCTGACAGTGTCTTTATTCCACCTTCATTCCTGAATTGCCAAGTTCATCATTACCAGATGGCAAGCTGCAGTCTGTGCTCAGTCTGTATCTGCAGGTCTCAGTGCATTACCTGCCATTCAGCTCTAGGAACCGTACATCTCTGTCAAGAGGCAATCTCAGAAGCTTGACTAGTATTTAGGTTTTTTATGAACAGTCTTATCAATGGGATCAAGGTTAAGTAAAATGCCAATATTGCAGCTGGGAATAAATAAGGAACTGACTAGGTTTTTGTGGATGAGACCGGGAAGCCTATCATCACATTACATTATTTGTCAGAAAATGCATCTTCGTTCCAAACTGACTCATAGATGAGCTTTTGGAAGCTTCGGGGAGCCCATATCCTCTAAGAGGTTCCCACGCACACAGCCAGGAGTTAAATATCTAATTATATAACTCAGGAGAAAAGTAGAATATACATGCAACTTTTTAAAAGCAAGCATTAAAAGTGTGCACTCAAAAGTTTTACTGTTCAAGTGAATATGATTAAAAACTATATGTCTTTTTATACATTTGGGGTTTGGGATCATGTGACTGTTTCATTTCAATTATTTCCATTTATGTTCTCTGACTTTATTGGAATGCAGACTGCAACAAAAGAATCTAAGTGTACTAAAAATGTATGAAAAAAATTCACTGAAAAGAGTTGGGGAGAAAGGTGGTGGCCGGAGAGTCACTTTAGAAATGAGTGGATTCTGTAAGACTGAAGGCAAACGAGTGGGCACTGAACCCCAGGTGGTGAAGTCATTTCCACGGAGTATGAGTCAACAACACTGAAGCCACTGCCCATCTGTACTGCAACTGAACTATTAAACAAACGGATGGTGGGTGGAAGGAGGCAGGCTTCTCCCTGTGACAGCAAGTTTATAGACAAGCATGGGGGAAAGGCTAAAGCAATCCACAGGATAGTGGATTGTAAGTGGAGACATCAGTGCAAACTCAGGCTTAGCTTAATACAGATACAGATGTCCACACACAGAAATATTTATAGATACATGTATATACCTGGGTTGCTATGCATTTCCTTGATCAGTCAGCTGAGAGAGCCTGGAAGCAGTGACACCCCAGTACCACAAGTGGCCAGGTCTGAGCTTTAAATGCCATTCTCTAATAAAAAGAATCAAAACTCCTCGGAAAAATATCTGAGATTCAAAGGCTGGGTCAAGAAATGCACAAGATGAGCCTAGAGCATCTTACAATGCCAGAAAGTAGGGAGAGGGAAGGTGAAAATGGTGTATGCTAAAGGAACACAGTTGTCAACTGAAAGAGATCCAGACGTCAGTCAAGTTTCCACCCAAACAAATCTGTGAAGGAAAGGTGCCCAGCACTCAAGGGCTTACCATGGGGGTGCTAGTATATATATATATATACATATATATATATACTACATATGGGGGTGGTAGTCCAGAGTCTGAGAGGACTTCTCTGAGCCAGTGACTCTTGAACTGAGATCTTAAGAGGACATTGCGAAGGAGGAGCTCTTGGGGGTCATATTTCTATTATTAATATTAAAATAAGCAACAGCAGGGTAAGGGCAGAGCCACAAGGGTTCAAGCTCATGCCACTCGCCGCAGAATGTCAGTAAGTTGAGAGACAAGGTGTTGGGGCCAGGAAGGTGACTTTATTCAGAAAGCCTGCAGACTGAGAAGATGGTGGGCTTATGTCCTAAAGAATCATCTTAACTCAGGGTCAGTCTCAAGCTTCTTTTGTGCTAGGGAAAGGGAAGCAGACTGGGGAGGAGGCTGGGGAGTGACTGAAAGCTGCAGACATCTGGGCCCCGGCGGGTTCGAGGAGAGCAGAGAGACCCCACATTCTTGGTCAGTTGATGTTCACCAACCTGGGTCTGGTTGTAGTGTTCCTAAAACTCTTAACAAGACCATCATTATTTTCACACATAATTGGTAAGGAGCCATCTGCAGAAATATTACACTGTAAGCAAAATTCCTTTTAATGATCAACAGGCCTATGTGCAGGGCTGTAGGGCTGAACAGAACCCTTTTGCTTTTTCCCTTTTGGCCCAAAGGTTAAGGCAGCACAGGAGACAAATACAGTGTGGAGGCAGAGATGCCAGCCTTCTCTATCTGTCACACAGGCCCCTGGGGAACAGCTGCATCTCTGCATCCACCTGGTTACCTGGCAGGTGCCTCACCGACACCTCATCTGGGTGCCTCTTGTCTTCAGGCTCTCCTTCCACATGAGGGGGAAGGAACACGTCCCCAGAGGCACAGAGAGCTCATGGCACCCGTCCTCCTCCCCCACTCCATCCTCTGGTATCCATAAAGTCACTTTCCTGACACCAAATGAAAGAAATGGCTCATGAAGTTCTCTATGAAAGATAAAGAGCATGCCCAGGCCTTCTACCCTCAGAACTCCTTCCCTGAAAGTTTGAGAAGTCGAGCTAACTCCTGGAGCCTAAGAGAGCCCAGAGCATCACCCAGCACCATCTGCTTCCCTGTACAATGGCCATGTCCATCCCTACCTCCAAACTATTCTTATCTGAAAAGAACAGCAAAAAATACAAAATTTCTTATTCTTTCCCTCATCTGCCCAGTGTGTTCAGCCTAAGATCCACCAAGGTAAGAACTATGAGGTGGGGGAGTCATGTGCTCTTGTCAGTATTTCACAATGTCAGGAAAAGTTACATATTTAGCCATGTTAAGGTCTTCCAAGTTAACCAAGAAACTGGGTCTCTCTG